ATTTTTATTTAATTTAACGCCAAATAATGTCAACCATCGTATTTTAATTATTACTATTAGCACATGCACTCATATTTTTATAATAAATAGAATAATTTAAAGCAAGATAAAGATGATTAAATTATAATAATTATCATACATATATAGGATTTGTTTGCCTTCAATTTTGTAACACAATTTTCAATATATATATTTTATTCTTTTACAAAAGTTAACATAGTTCTGTAACTGGGCTCCCTTATCATTTTAGTTCTGTAAGTGGAGCATGTCGCAAACTAGTTCCATAAGTGATAAGTTTTCGTTGTTTTAGTCCTCCGGCGCCGGAGACGCCCGCATGGCTCGCCGGAGGTGACGTGTCCGCCAAGTGTCCCGCCAGGTCAGCGGCACCTGACGGACACATGGATTTATTTTTTTTCCTTTTTTTAAATTTCTTTTTAATTGGACCAAATAAAAAAATAACAAATAAAATTAAAAAAAATAAAAAATAATAAAAAAAATTCACGTGTCCGCCGGGTCACTGACCTGACACCTGGCGGACACGTCACCTCCGGCGAGCCACACGGGCGTCTCCGGCGCCGGAGGACTAAAACAGCGAAAATTTTTCAGTTATGGGACTAGTTTGCGACAGGCTCCACTTACGGGACTAAAATAATAAGGGGGACCAATTACTTGATTAATAAAACAGTTTACCCTAATTTTTTATATCACACATTAAAAAATAATTCAAATCAAAATACTAACAAAACAAACCAATGATTATAAAATTAATTTTTCCACTTGACTGGTTTATTATTATTATTATTATTTTAATGGACAAATGGATACATGTCGACAAAATAATGAAATATAATAAATTTTTGAGTGCACACATCAACTTCATTAATGTAATATACACATCCATTGTAAAGATTCATTTGTAATAATTTAAAATTTTTAAAAGTTGTTTATATTTTATCCTTCATATGTTGTTTTTGTTATTTTTATTACTAATGAAAAAAAAGATCGAAAACTTCGGGTTGTGTTCCTTTAATTTTTAAGAATTTATGGACTTGCTATTGTTAATAATTATTGTAACTTGTGAAATTATTATTTAAAATTTTATTCTTTTTATTTTATTTATTAAAGAAAATACAATAATTTTTTTTTTTTGAAAATACGTGTATTAAGAATGATAAAAATTAAAAACAAACACATCCTTTCTGCTCGGAAAAGAGAAAAAATAATATGAATATAACACAAATTTAAACAAGATTTCATGCGCAACATATTGAATCAAACAAAAAGAAGAATTAAATGGTTCCATAAAGGATGGTCTGATATTATGAGATTAAAATTTGAATTTTTTTTATTTGAATTCTTTTTCTTTCGAAAAAAAATATATTTTATATTTTATTTTTCTATCACAAAATATCATCTGTAATCTTGAATGATATATAGGTAAAATCACACGAATTGTTCTAATTTTAGTGAACTACTCTCTACTAGTTACTTGATGTGAATATGATGACGTAACCAAATAATTAATTTTATGCAAATATAATTAGTGGTGGGATCAAAAAATATTCATATATTCATTTTTTTTACACGGAGTTTTAAAAATATTAGTATTACATTGGGATATAATAGAAATAAAGGTAAAAGGACTAAATTAACCCTATTAGTATTATATGATATAAATGTAATGATATTTGTGTAATATATTATAAATTGGAAAAGTATTTGTAATGTTAAGTAGATAATACAATTACTAAAAATAAATAAATACTTTGTTATAAGACGAACCAAAATAAAAAAATAGATAGATTGTTAGAAGTTTAGTGCTAATAAACTATTTATATCTATTATAGAAAATTTGCAACTATCCTCAAAATTGGTGATCTTAATTAATAATTGCATGTGCACAAATTACGTTGTGTTTCACAAATTTAAAAATAAATAAATAAAAATAATGAAAAAAATGAATAAAACATATAAAATTTTGAGGTTATATAATTTGTATAAAAATGTAAATTTGTGTTTAATATCTTAAATAAAAAATAAACATTTAATAATATTTTTAAATAATATATTATTAATAAAAAAATACAAGTAATTTGAATTGATAACCATAATACAATTGTAAAAGTTTTGACTTTTTCTTTCACAATTTCGCAGAAAATATATTTTTCTAAAATAATATTTCTCCGTTTCAAACAAAAACAACATTTGAGTTCGATATGAGACTTTAGATAGATAATATTAAATAAAATAATTTAGAAATAAAGTGATTTGATAGAAAGATAAATGTATATTTTATTTTATTTTATTTTTTATATGGATGATGTGATGAAATAAAATCGTGAGGTAGATATTCAATATAATTAATTATTTTTTATTTTAAAAATATTATAGAGTGTTTGAAATATAAAAAAAAAAAAAATATATTGCAAACCGTGTGAGACATAAGGAGAAACAAATTATAAAAACAAAAAAAAATTACATTATTATTTATAACTAAAATGAGGCCTATAAGTATACATAATATACAAACTCGATAGACTTAAACCTAATAGATAAAACCAAAATATAAAATAATAAAATTCAATCTAAAACTAAATAACTAAAATATTTCAACAACCTCGCTCAAACTCAAATGGTTTGGCAAAACAACTTGAATTTGCAAAGAGAGATCGAAGATAATGCAGCCACAACTATCCACCCTGCAATTAGAAACAGTTTTGTCAACTGAATTAGAGTCGAAAATAATGGGACTTTTGACGGAGTCGGAAGCAACAATACTCTCGATGGAGTCAGAAATAACAGGACTCTAGATGCAGTCGAAAATAACGACACTTTCTATAAAGTCGGAAATAACATAACTCTCGATGGAATCAGAAATAACGAGACTCTCAATAGAGTTAGGAACATGACTATGGAGAAATGTGACAGACAAATCGCAAACATATACGCAGACATGGCTTCAATCGTAGAATTAATCATGACTCAAAATAGAATTAAAATTAGAAAATAAAAAAATAGAAACTATAGTCAATATTCAAAACTGAAAGATTTTTGTTGACACTATAAAACAAAACAAAAATAAAATAATCTCAAATTTGGGAGACTTTCGGGTACATTTATACTCGGAGAAACGTGAATTAGTAGACTATATCTACTGTAGGAGAAAAAAAAAATAGACTCTGATACCATATGAGAAATAAATTATAAAGACTTAAATTATTTTATTTGGGCATGAAAACTAGAAAATAATACTACCTTCATCCCCACGAATCTATCTATTTACTTTTTGCATATTAATATTTGAATATTAATTATTATACCAAAACGTAGTACAAATTCAGGAAAAGCGACAAAAATATTTCTATTGATGTCTTATAACCCTAATATAACGATATTTCTACAAAAAGATTATATAAATATAAATATATTTTTAATGTTAAAAATAATGACGCCAAATGGAAATGGATATGGTATTGTAATTTTTTATTAATATTTATAAAAGATAGTGTCAAAAAAATTATTGATTGACCGAGTGTTATTTTTTATATTACTGGTAAATTACTATGGCACTCTCTCAGCAAAATCATTGATTGAACGAAATATATTATACCAATGAGTTCGAACAGTTTTTTTTTTTCTTCATACTCTATATATTTGGAGGAAAATTACCATGGCTGGAAATGGTTTGAAGGATAGCTGTTGCAGTAGAATTTTATTTTATTTTATTTATAACATATTTATAATAAAAGTAAAATATTACAAAATAAAATATAATTATTATAATCTATCATAATTATTATTTATTACATCAATATTTATTATATCTACAAAAACTAAAAACCAAATTTACTAATTCAAAAGAATGCAATTTTTAAAAATTATAAATATAAAAAAAAACATATTCTTTCCGTGGGGGAAAACTACGTATCCGTTTGTTTTTTACATGAAATTTTAGAAATATTAATATTATATTGAGATATAGTAGGAATAAAGTAGAAATAACTAAAATAACTTTATTCGTATTGTGTGGTATAAAAGTAATAGCGTTTGTGTAATATATTGTAAGTTGTAAGAGTATTTGTAATGTTAGGTAGACAGTGCAATTACTAAAAAAATAAAATTGATACTTTGTTATGAGACGGACTAAAATAAAAAAATGAATATTTTGTTACGAAACCGAGAGAGTAAATCAAATTCAAAATTAAAAAAAAAATCAAACAAACATAAATGTGATCATCCATAACCAAAAAAAATCAAAAAAGTCAAACCAAAATACTAGATATGATCTTTTGATTAAAATTCTAAAGTTTTACTATTTAGACTTTATATTATTTCAAAAAAAAAATATATATACTTTTATTTCTTACAGAATATCTCATTATATACTTTTTTCGTTCAAGACTAAATTTCTCATTTACTTTTTGCCTAAACTTCTCATTTACTTTTTGCACGTTGATATTTGAATATTAATTATTATATCAAAATATAATATAAATTAAAAAAAATAATATTTATACAAAAAAATTATAAAAATATAAGAATATTTTTAATGTTAAAAATAATGACCCAAAATATATATAAGAAATTTAGTCCGGAATACCAAAAATTCAAACTAATTTTTTTCTAAAAAAAAAACATACAATAAACATTACAAACCCCTTGACTTTGGGGGTATTATTTACTACCTCCTTTCCGATACAATAGTTATATTTGTCATTTTTGTCCGTCCTAAAATAATGGTCTTATTTTCATAAATAATCATATCATTATAAAACTATTCTTATTTTTTTATTATTATTACACAATTATTACTTTTTACACTAGTACAAAAAAATCTTTTATCCGTATTTTTTTACCCATTATCAATATAATATCGACTTGGCAAACACAACCCAGAATCTGGACTGAGGGAGTATAAGATAATCATAAATATATATATATATATATATATACTCTCTCCTTAAACCTTACTCGTCCATTAGCACATATATTTTCTCACCATGTTACATTTCTTATTCCTCCTTCTTCTTCCCACTCTTCTTTTCTTCCTCCACAAATCACTATCCGCCGCCGGCGGTGGCGGCCACCTCCCGCCGGGCCCGAATCTCTGCCGGATTCTGACATTGAAACATCAGATCGAACAAAACCCTCGAAAACTTTTCACAAACCTCGCCAAGCTCTACGGCCCAATATTCTCATTCCGCGCCGGCGTCCACCTCATCGTCGTCGCCTCATCCGCCGCCGCCGCCAAAGAAATTTTCAGCACACAGAACCTGAGATTCGCCGCCCGATACTTGCCGGCGGTCAACCACAGCATCCTCAGAACAACCAAAACGAGGTTGCCGGCCGCCATTGTGGTGGCGGAGTCCAACGCTGTCTGGAAAATCGTCCGCGGCCTCGGCCATAGATCCATCTTCTCCGCCGCCTCCGTGGAGGCCGCCGCCGGAATCAGGGCGGCGAAGGCGGCGGAATTGGTGGAATTTCTTGGAACTCAAATTAAGGAAGAAAAAGCTGTCTTTATCGAAGAGATTATATTTGCCACTTTTGCCAATATTATCAGCACTGTTCTTACATCAAGAAACCTGTTTTTGGTCGACAAAAATGGCGAAAATGTACGGACAGTGATTAATCGGCTCATTGAAATGGCCGAGAAGTACAGCCGGTTCGGTTTAGGGGATATGTTGCCGTTTCTTAGAAGGTTCGATTTTTCGACGAAAATAAGGGGTAGAGTTGTTTTTGAGAATGCCAAATCAATTTGGGGAGATTTTGTCATGGAGAGAAAATTGGCTATGGCTACACAAGTCGAAGGTTGTTCGAAAACTATGACGCGCGACTTTCTCGACATATTGTTGCACGAAGATTTATTTGCCGATGACGGCGCCATCGAATATTTTTTGTCGGTAAATATGCTATGTTTACTTAGAAATTTTAGTTATTCATTAATCATTATTACTTCATTTAAAAGATATATACTCGATCTGTTCGAAAAATTTAGTCTCTTTCTTTTTGTAAAGATACAAAAAAAAATAGAGCTAAATTTATCGGACAAATAGAGTATATCACGTCAAATTCATCTGAGTTTGTTTGTCCACTCTATTTCAACAACAATATTTCAATATATATAATATATATTATATTTTCTTAAGAAAAAAAAAAAAAACAGTTAATATTCCCAATAAGTTATTATTTTTTTTATTATTTCGAATTAAAATACTAAATAAATTTACCCTCAAGCCAAATCGGTTGACCAAATGAGGTTTGAGTGTGATTTTTTGTATTTTGATAGGATCGGATATTTTGGAATATTTTTATTTAAAGATTCTAATTAAAAATAGGATTGTAACGATAATATTTTAAATTAAAAATAAATACTACTTTCTCCGTTCAACTAATTATGTTACAATCTCACTGAGGTATTATAAGAATTATATTAAAGAATTAATTATAAAACAATAGTGTCAGTAAAAAAAATAATGATAAATTAATTATTATTTATTAAAATAGCATTAATAAAATAATAGGTATTAAATGTAATTTTTCATTTTTTTTTTCAAAATACTAGTTTTTACCATATGATCGGAGTTTCTTTTCTTCGACCGACGCAGGAAATGTTAATGGGCAGCACAGATTCTGTGACAACTATAACAATTTGGCTGCTTGTTGAAATGATCAAGAATGAAGAAATTCTCCAAAAAGTTCGAAAAGAAATCACGGATCAAGCCGTCGAAGCCGGGAACACTATAAGCGAGCCGGGTCTCGCACAATGTGAGTATCTTCAAGCATGTATCAAGGAAGCCTTAAGGCTACACACTCCATCTCCGGTCGTAGTTCCTCGTCTCGCATCCAAGGCGAGCATAATTAACGGATACACGATCCCAAAAAATACCATCGTATTAATTAATTTATGGGCAATCCACACGGACCCCGGAATGTGGGAAGATCCCTTAATGTTCAAACCCGATAGGTTTCTCAACTCGCCTATCGCTTTCAAGGGTGGCGCCATTGACGGCGCGCATTTTGAGTACATGCCTTTTGGTGGCGGATCAAGAACTTGCCCCGGCTCGGAGATTTGCCGTAAAGGAGTTCAGCTTATGACAGCTTGTTTAGTTCATTACTTCGATTGGAGGGTCCCCGATGGAAATGACCGAGCCGTGCTCGAAAGGGGCGAAGATCAATTTTGGACAATATTGAAGAAAGATGAACCTCTCCGATTGATTCCATCGCTGAGGGGAGATTGTAATAATGCGGAATTAGATTGAGTTGAAAAAGATTGATGATATATTACTCATGTTCATAAGGGTATATATTTTAATTTATCGAGAGTTAAGTATGCTTATTTTAAAATAAATGATTTCTTTAAAAGATCGTACATAAGTGAAGAGCGCAAAATATGTAGACTTATGCAGTAGCATGACATGTAGGTGGAAATATAATATCTATACGAACCGTGATATATTTACAAATACAAGAGTATCTATTTGTATTTTTGTATCGTGTTTGTGTCAAGTTGAGTTGGAAGTAAAACAAAAATATAGAAATTCGAGTACGATTGGAACATGATATTCAACATGAAATCCTAAACTGAAATAGCATGAATGATTTCAAATAGGTTAAGGAATCGATCTTATTTTATTTCAGGTCAATCAATAGTCCTAACGAATACTGATTAAACGAGGCACGAAACAAATCCTATAGTCCCTATGACTCTTTGTTCATTCAACGAGGGAGTTCGAAGTAGCAATCCTCGTGTTCAATGTCTCTTTTCAAAAATCTTCGACTATTTTTAATTGATGGTCCGACTTCTTCGCTCCCACTTTTAGGTTCCTTTATCCGCCGTGAGAGGGCTAAAAGTGAGGCCGCCAATTGTAGCAGCCTATAAGCCGCAACTAAGATCATCTCCAATCATATTCCTATCCAAAAAGGCTGCCTAAAGCTGGCCGACATATCCAATACATAGTAGTTAAAGTTAGTTTCGAATAAAATGGAGAAGTATGGTGCGTCGAGGACGGGCGGATCCAGGAATTTTTTCTATTGGTGGCACGATAAATAAATTAAAAATAAAATATATTAAAATAATAATAATATAATAAAAATAAATTATTATTGATAATATAGAAAAATAAAAAAATATTATTTTTTAATATTTATATCTTTAAAATATAAATTAATTATTTTAACTTAATTAAATTTTAATTATTTGGATAGTATTGGTATTATAAATTTCAAAATTTAAATAATCCACTATATATATATATATATTAAAAATGATAACATTTCAAATTTTAACTAAACAAACAATTTTTTCTTTCTCACACAGTGTTCATACATATAGCAACTTAACAACGAGTGTATTATTGTAAATACGAGAATTTAGATAAAAATATAATTAATAAGTAATTAAAAAATATTTTAGTAAAATTAATTATTGTATAGTAAAAATAATTATAAATTAATATTAAAATTATTAAATAATTTAATTAAGATTAAAAAATTATAAATTTTAAAATTTAAAATATAATTAAAATGTATAATTATTTTTCTAAAAAATAAAAAGAGATTATGTGAAACGGACTAAAATAGAATATATAGAAAAATTACGTGGGCCAGACGAAAAAAAAAAAATAGAGAAAAATTATGCGGGAAGAAAAGAGTATAAAAAAACATATATACATCTGTTGGGTCCCACGCGCCTGCTCAAGGATGTGGGGACTTTGCAGGGGGTCCCATTGAGCGCGTTATACGAAGAAGTGGACCACGCGCATGTGGGCCCCACCTACCACGTGCGTTGCCCTCGACTCACGTGCGCTTTTATGGAGACCGCACGAGGTTGAGTCGTACGACCTACCACATATATTAATGATTTTTGCCGTTTCTCAATTACTATTTTCATTTATTGATTAGCTAATAATTTTATATTATAGATTAATAAATAGCACTAACTAAGTTAGATAAAACAAAATATTTATGAGTTTATTATTATTTAAAATTTATTAATATAAATGTTTTTATTGTTCAAGTACAACATTGTTTTTTTTTTTTTTTTTTAATAGTAGGTACGAACACATTTATACTTATTTTGCTATTTTTTACATATTAAAATTATGTTGTTGTGAACGGAAGTTGTAATACTTTTTAACAAAAGCATCTAAAAGGATAAGAAGATACTTGGCACTGTTTAATAAGCAATAAAAAGCCTGTACTAATTCAAAATAGGGCCCACCAAACCCTAACTTAATTAATACTAGGAACTCCATGGAGCTCCTACCCTTAATGAATCCACGACATTCATTACGCCGCTTGATATACTGAACGGTGCAGATTCATCCAGGACTTGAAATCCCGGAGTCCCGAGACTCACCTCAGTTTCCCGTTGCCCGGGAAAGCTGTTAGCACGGCATAACAAATTGGACAGCTACTAGCCATTTATTTTAATTCAAATTTTTTTCAAAAAAAATATAGTAATTATTAAATTTAATATGATTGCATTTTTTCCCCGACATTTATCGAGAATAATTACAAAATTGTATAGATTCCAATTTGTTGGAAGAAATGGATAGAAATTTATTAAAAAAAAAAAAAAAAAAAAAACAGATTGGTGCAAAACCCTAGCGAGTCCCGGACCCTTGGTACCATCGTCTTCTTCAGGGCTTCGGAGATGAGGCTTTGTCGGAATTCCCAACCATAAACTGAAGCTCTCTTTTCTCATAAATCTCCATAGAGAAGTCCCTCAGCATCTGCGCTGCACTACTTGTACCACTTGCTTCGGCGCTTGTACCGGCTTCTGATACCTTCATTTTTTCGCGGCTCCCGCTGACGTGGCTCGGCTCCGATTCGTTCTCCCCGCTTCCGCCGCCGCCGCCGGAGAAACTGACGAAGCTACTTACTGGCCGCGCGGCGACGTTGTAAACTGGCGTCGCGGCGGCGGGTATGGCCCAGAAGTGCTGCTGAGTCAACGGCGCGGCGGAAGAGCCGCCGCCGCCGGTAGGAGGAATCATGAAAAATGTCCCGGTAGGAAATACCGAAACTAACCCTTGTGGAGCAACGGGTGCGACGGGGGCAAAATTGGAATTTTCACCAGCCTCGCAAAACTCGCTGGTGGAAGCCCTCTTGCGCCGTTTCCGGGAGGTTTCGGCGTCGGCGGCGGCGGTCGTCGGAATTTTCAGCGTTCCGTTGACGGAGACGGCGATCGCCGGCACGGTGCCGGTGCCGGTGGCCTCGATTATCGCCGGCTCCGCCCGTTCCAGTAGCCACCGGATTGTCTCGCCGTCGGATTTGTGCCCTAGCTCACGCGTCAATTGGAATATCCTCGCCGCGCACGCCGCCGGCATCCGGATTCTCCGGCCGCGGCCCTCCACCTTCGTGTGGCGGTCTTTCGTCGATCTCCTCGCCACCGCCGCCGCAGGCGGCGGTTCAACCCGACCCGACCCGGCCGAATTGTTATCGGATTGCTCCGCCTTCAAAAGGAGCGGCAGTGGCGCCGATCCTTGATTTCCGGCGGGTTCAATCGGAGCGATGGTGTACTCGTCGGAGAGCAGGGGATCGGCGGCGCCGGCGGGATGGGTGTCGTCGTGGCTGTGGTGGGGTTGAAAGGATGGCATATCGGTGGCGGTGGGAGTGGAGAGGGACCCCCAAAGGGGTATAGCTATATACTGCGGCGGGGTGGGAATCGACGGTGGAGGTTGCTTGGATGGGGACGAGGGCTTAAGATGGTGACACGTGGATGAGGTTGGGGTGTCATTACTTTGCGATTTGGGTCAAACCCTTATTAGGGTTAGTCAAAGTGTGGCCTACCGATTGGTGGCTGTGCAATTGCAACTTTGCGGATGGGCAATGCTGTAATTTGGGATTCAGACTTGTTCCTTTTGATGATTTTGAAAAAAATTGATTTGAGTTTGATATTAAAATAATACTCCCTCCGTCCAGCTAGAAAGTATACATGTCTATTTTGGGAAGTTCAATTACAAAGTAAACATTTTATTAAATACCTTACTTTTTTTCACAAATACCCCTACTTTACATCACATCATTACTTTTACACAAAAAAGCAAGGGCAAAAATGTCATTACACTACTTTTAACTACCCACTATAATTAAAATACTATTATTTCTTAAACACCGCGCCAAAAATAATTGTGTACTTTTCTTGTGGACGGAGTGAGTAATTGATAGGATATTCTGTAAAATAAAAAAAAAATTATTTTTTTCGGATAATCTGTGTTAATCATGTGTGACAGGTGATCTGAAGCGTCAGGAGTCTGAACCCATAACTTCATGATCACAAATTCAACCCCTACACCATCAGGCCTTTCCTTACGGGACATATGTTATATATATAAGATGACCTCTACAATTTTTTTTTTTACTACATGTAAAAAAATATCCTTCAAATTATTTTACAAAACAAAAACACCCTAATTGTCTTTTATTTATTTATTTATTTTTTTTATAACGTGAGAATCCGCGGTTGCTATATGAAAGTGTGTACTGGGTAAACCTCCAACCGAACCTAATATCCTGTAAACTAGACCCGATATGCAAGTCACACTAGGCGAACCATGTGTGGCCCTTAACTGTCTTTTATTTTTTATTTAGCATGTTGTTTTTGCACTTTTTTATAAATTCAATGTAATATTTTGTGAAAATAAAATATCACATTTTTTTTTATAATTTATTTTGACAATTGTATAGTTATAAAAATTTAAAGTGAACAAAACCTTTTGTATTTTAGTTCTTGATGTGAAATAGTTATGCAATTTGATATATTTCAAACAAAATTTAGAATTGTAGTATAATAATAATAAATCTCAAATAAAACACACCTCTATATATATATATTAAGATCCATGATCCTATCTTACAAAATACATGGTAAAAGGTCCCGTAAAAGGACCTGGTGTGTAGGAATTGGAGTTTACCCGGTGCGCATTTCGGGTAGCGGCTACAGTTTCCACGTCATATAAAAAAAATAAAAATTACATGATAAAGGCTTAAATTTAACTTATAATTCTCTTTGTATAATTTTATTGTTTAAGCAACTTTCATTTCTATTACGTCTATATCTTATGTATTATTATTTTTTACAAAATATCACAGATACCTGCAAAATATATAAATACAAATACAAATAACACAAACCAAATACATATATTTGTATTAATTCATACATCAATTACCAATATTTTGTAGAATATTTTGTCCCATATACCTTCCAAGCATCATGACGGTTGCTTGAGGGTTAGTTCCGGGAGAGCTACTAAAAGTCGATCCATCGATGACACGCAGAGCATCCACGCCAATAACTCGAAAGTCACGATCGACAACTTCGCCCGCCCGGCACCCTCCGTGGTAATGCCAAATGGTCATCACATTGTCGATACAATATTGCTCCAATGAATATACGGCAATCGGGTGTTTCCTCCTAAGATTGTTCGGGATAGTCAATGTTAATGCTCTTAAGGCTTTGAATGTTGCGAAGGGGTGCCGGAACGATGACATTGCCCTCGATTCCACAATTTTTCCGATGATTTCCATACCCTTAACACACCTCTCAAGATCTCTACGATCTTTGAAATAATTGAACGTCACCCTCGGATTCTCATTTGGATCGAGACTCTTGAGCTCCATATACCCTTTTGAAAAAGGCCCTTTTGTCTTTTCTCCGATTACTCCAGCCGGAATATTGGAGGAGATATTTAATCCCGGGATTATCAGATTTTCTGGAAGTGTGAACGGGGGAGGTATTGTCTGAAATATGATGGATTAAACAACCAAGTATTATATACCTTATATAATTTGAGGTGAATAGTAAATAGCATTTGAAAATTAACAAAGTAAAAGTAAATTAGATTTTGAACCTGATTAACTGATCTCGAGAATATTTGGGCTATTGTAAAGGACGATGATTCAATAAGTCCACTGGCTGATTCGATGTAGCTTCCGACTTCAGTTATGCCGATTGCTTGAGCTAGCGAGGTTTCAACCGGCCTAGATGATGGAATTACGACTGTATTCAAAGGATTGTCGGCCAAATTTTGTCCGACAAATGGTTGATCCAATATCACGGGTATTCCGTGGCCTTTGAGTTGTTGCGCCGGTCCAATACCGCTCAACATTAACAATTGTGGGCTGCCTAATGCCCCGGCTGATAGTATGATCTCATTTCCCGACCCACCGCGTAAGTAAGCCATGTGTATGGTGCCTTTGTCGTCTTTGAACTCAACCCCATATGCTTTTCTTGTTTGCCCTAGTTTATCGTGATAGAAGAAATATTTGAAATAATCTAAATTTTAGAGACACAACCAATCAACATTTAAATTTAAATTTGATTATCATTCTAGTCACTTATACAATTTCTATTCTTTTCGATAAAATTGTATTATATTCATTCCGCTCTAAATGTTTCATTTATCTTTTTTCGTGTTCATCTTTGAATATTAATTATTATATGAAAATATAGTACAAATCAAGGAAAATGACAAAAATACTATTATAATGACATTTGTGCAAAAAATTAAATAAATATAAAGATATTTTTAATAATAAGTAAATGAGACTGTTGGAGCCAGACAACGAGATTACTATTATTATTATTATTATTTTTATATATAAAAACACTATATCAAACTTCTATTTTCTATAAACCAAATATTTTAGATGTATTGAAAGTGTAATGTGATTTAAAAATTTAAACAAAAAAATAAATACTTAATATGATATTTAAAAATATTTGGACATGATATGATGAGTGTGTTTGCTCTATTAAAAAAAAAAAAAAAAAAAAAAGGTTAGTTGAATAATTATTTAAATTAGAAGAGTGGATAGAGCGACCTGCAGTGGATACGTTGATCAAAATTTTTTGGACAGTTGAATGAAGGTAAACCCTAATTCTCGTCGGATCTGCGTATTCTAGAAGCTCCGCCGCGCTGTGTCGGTTTCCGTTTTCGTCGAATATTACGCCGCCGATTTTCGTGCCGACCAGGTGGTCGTACGTAAATCCCCTGTCCGGCGCCACCCCGGCCTCCAGCAGTCCGCCGCGGACCGCCGCCTGCCACTGCCGAACCCGCGGCCGGAACGCCACTTTCTCTTCGACCCAACGGTATGACTCATCCGACCGGCGCCGGTCCAGACCGGCCTGCTCGATAAACTCCGGTTCGGCGCGCGTGTAGAACCCAGCGTTGATGGCGGTGCCGCCGCCTAAGATGCGGGCGCGGTGGTTCAGGACGCCGTCGGTGGAGACAAAGGGCTGCGCCGCCGCCGCCGGCGAGAAGTCCAGCAGCGTCGGTATGAAGGCGTTTATGTTGGTCACCTGTGGGTTGTTGTACGGCTGCCCGCCCCTTTCTAATAGTACGACTTTTGCGGCGGCGGAGAGGGTGGCGGCGAGTGCGCAGCCGGCGGCTCCGCCGCCGACGACTATGTAGTCGTAGAAGTCGGTCGCCGGCGCCGTCGTTGCTTCTTTTGCGAAGGAATATGGAGCTGATCGTTGTTGTAAAAGATTAGCCAAATTAATATGTAACATCAATATATTTAAAATATATATATATATATATATATATTTTTATTTAATTTTGAAATAGGAGATTTAAATTACCTTTTTCTGCAAAAGAGATAGCAATAGAGAAGTAGAAAGCCCCAAGTGCAATGGAAAACCACATTCCAAAACCCATATATAATTATTGATCGATTTTCGAGCTCAAAAAAATATGTGGTTTAGGTAATTTAATTACTTATTTATATATGCAAGTATTTATAGATATATATAGTGAGAGAGAAATTATGCCATTTATAAAGTTGGAATTTAGGTGTGTTTTTTTTATGAGTTTGAAAAAAATTTGGTTTGAGTTTGATATGAAAGTAATGTTTGATAAGATGGTTTGTGAAAGAAAAAAATATATATATTTTTTGAAAAATGCGTAATCTAAATAGTAAAATTTGAGAAAATTATGCTAAAGAAACATACCAAAATAATTTGCAATTTCTCATCGTGTCAAGGGGTTGACTTTTACTTTCTTACTATTTTTTTTGGGCAAAGAAAAAGAAAACTACTAATTTGTAGTTTTTTTTTTTTTTAAAAAATATAATTTCAAAATTTTATCATAAAAAATATAATCATTTATGTTTTGATCCAAATAATATTTTGATTTAATTTTTCTAATATATATATATTCTTTCTGTCCGAAGTAATTATGACACTTTATTTGGGTATAAAAATTACAAAATAATAGTAACATTTTAGTGTAAAAATGGATAAGTAAAAAAATAATGACAAATTAATTATTATTTATTAAAATAGAAGTAATAAAATTATAGGTGAATAAATTTACTTAATATAAATAAATTATATATAAATTTAATAATCAACAAAAGAAAATGACATAATTATAGCTCACTTGAGAGGGAATATATTTTTATTTAAAACAATATTAGATGAATAGTAAAAATTTTTATTTGAAATAACAAACAAACACACTTCGGTTTGAGTTTTTAATTTGCAATCTACACTTAGCTAAAAAATTTTAAATTTTGAAAAAATTATATAATAATAATAAGTTAGTATTAGATATGATATTTTGTAAAAATAAAAAAAATATTTGATATAATATTTTTTTTAAAAAAATATTATTGTTAAGCAGTGCCAAAAATTCTAAAAATATTTATGTAATAATTTTTTTAAAAATAATATTTAATATACTATTTTATGAAAAAAAAATTAAGATATTTTTTTAAGAATTATAAAAAAAATGAATAATAAACAAGTATGAGTGTGTTTGTTTGTTTTTTTTTAAATAAAAATTAATACTATTAAATTGGTATTATTTCTTATAAAAATTTAATATTTTCTTTCTTATAAAAAATAATATCAATATATAATTTGAAAAATTCTAATTAATATTCTAATTTCAAATAAAAAAGCAACCCAATCCTAAGAGTCGAAACCATATAAATAATTTATCGGTTGACCACGTCAAGGTCAATAATTTTTGCTTAATGTGTAAAATGAATTTTATTTTATTAATATTTAAAACCAAAATTTATAAAATATTATTATACTCCCTCCGTCCCATATACTATGTTCACGTTGACGTCACGAACCCTGTCATTTTCCTTTTTTGGAAAATAATTATACACTTTAATCTCATTTTAAACTTTTAAATTTTATTTTTTTAAATTTTAAATTAAACTAATTAGTTATCTTAATCTTAATTTATAATTATTTATATTTATAGGATAATTATTTTCACTAATATATTCTTAATTATCTATTAATTACACATCTCCTAAAATACCACGTCTACAATGTAACATACACGGTATGTGAGACGGATGAAGTAATTATTATTAATGAGTGGAAATCTGCTTCTATACAAGTCACACTAGACCCCACACCATATTATTATTATTATTATTATTATTAGGTGGTCAGCATTTAAATGAAAATGCATCGCATGTGCTTACCATAAATAGGGGTGGGTTGTATCGAATTAAATATGAATTTAATACTCTCTCCGTCCACAAACGCATGTTCTATTTTTCTATTTGGAACGTCCAACAACTATTATCCTATTTCTTTTTTTAAACACAAATTTTACATTTTTACACTTCATTTATTTATTTACTTTTCATTTCTACTATACAATTAAGGGCAAATTTGTCAATTCATAACAAAAAGATAATCACCTAAAAAACCGTGCAAATATACTTTAGGACAATAAAAATTGAACGGAGGAAATATAATTTTTCGAAAATAAAAAATAATTTTTTTAATACAATATTAAAAATATTTTATTTAAGAAATAGAGTAGGCCAAGCAAGTCCACTGCACACTGAGGCTGATTGTAACATAATTCGTTTCACATTATTTCAATGTTTTGAATGGTTGTGTTTCTTTTAATTGATTTGAAGTTTCATATTAAAATAACGTTGTTTAATAATATTTGATGAATATTTTGTTTTAAAAATAGTAAATATATATATATATATTTTTTTTCTTCTGAGAGTCACATTTATCTTTTAAGTTATTATATTTAATATTAGAAATATTCTTATATTTTTATAATTTTTATAATTTTTTAGTACAAATATCCTTTTATTAGTATAATAAGACACTAATGCAAGTATTTTTTTAAATTTTTTCTTAATTTATACTACGTTTTGATATAATAATTAATATTTAAATATCAATATACAAAAAATAAATGAGACCCTGAAAGTCGGACGAATATAGCGTATAATTTTTGAAAAATACAAAATTCAATCATTAAAATCTCCAAATTCCACTATTCATGTACTTAATTGGATAAATCATCGAGAAGGTGTTTGGCAAAGTTTGAATCTGAACCTTAGGATCATAAGTCACTTTACTACACCAATTCCACTCTTTACGTGCTTTCTCTATATACATAAATGTAAAAATATATTTATCTATCTATATATTATATTGTGATGCTTTCAAAAAAAAAAAAAAAAAAGTTCTTTTAAATTTTACTTTCTCTTTTATATTTCAAAATATTATTTTTTATCATTTTCGTTCATTCCATTTCAAAATATCACTTTCCTATTTTATAAAAATAATTATACACTAATACTAATATACCATTAACTTTTACTTAAATTACAAACATACCATTACACATACAATTACTTTATACATAAAATCAATTGACAAAAATGTCAAAATCTCTTACATACTTTCACTAAATTATAAAATATTATTATTTATTAATCTATTATAAAATCTCAAAAAGCTCATTTGAAATGGACGGAAAGAAGTATAATGTAACTAAAATCATTATATTAACATAATTATTTAAAAATAGAATTATATATATAAAAAAGAGAGATTATTTTCTCTTATAAAATTATATCAAAATAAATTTTAAATCAAAATTTAAATTGAAACTCCAAACTCAAATAAAAACCAATCAAACCCTCAAATTGCATGAACATGGTAACATTTACTTTGGAAGAGAATTAAAAAAAAAAAAAAAGGCTTATTAATATCAAATCAATATATTAGTAACAAAAAAAAAAAAAAACTAAATATGAATAAATAGTATTTCCTTCGTCATTTAAATCTATGTTCACTTTCTTTTTTGGGTTGTCATCGAAAACTATATCGTTTCCCTTTTAAATAAAAAATTATTATATATTTGTACTTTTTTTATTATAAAAAAAAAATTAACAATTATTACTTATTTTTATTAATTCCCGTGCCCAATCAAATGAGCACGGATTTGCGTGACGGAGGAGTATTAATATATAAAAATATATTAATTATTACTTCCTCAAAAACAAGAAGAGGGCCCGAAGAGCTAGACACACTAAAAAATAGGGTCGAGAGCCTTCCGAAGTCAAAATCTTTCGATTGATTGAACTTCATGTTAATAGGCTCAATCAACCTCCGAAAAGAGTCTAATACGGTAAAAAATATACAATTAGGATCGATCGATATTAGTCATCCGAAGTGCAGGATCGAATATGATAAGTGATAACAGACAGACTTTGTGGAGCATTATTGCGACCTGATCGCATCGTTTGATCTTAAGAGCGTGTAATATTCTAAAAAGACTTAAAGTCTCACCGAAATCCAAATTATGGTTCCATCAGCTTTACATCAACATAATAAACAATAAGTTTGTTTAGCGTTTTGATTTGATTTTTTTATATGAGGTATAGAGAATCGTGTCGATAATATTAAAAATAATATTTTATATTGAATATTTACTTTTGTGAGAGGATAAAAAATATATATTGTTGGAAATAGGTATTGCACCAAAACTTATTCGAATACCTAAAATAGGGTCAACTCACGAAGTATAGTTATATCACAGTTATTACAGTCTACTGCTAACAGTATGAATGCAGAAGTTCAAAGCAGTAAATGAGACAAGGGTTTGTTTACCCGGTTCGGTTATAAATTAACTTACATCCGGAAATACCATTCCAGGAAAAGTTCAACTAACTCAGTGCTCATTATAAAATTTAGACAAACCACATCTCCTTCAACGCATACCTTTACAATGGTTTACCTTGACTCTTCCACAGACTTATGTTGTCACAAATTCGTATTGACAACTACCACAGAGCAGGACTTCTCAGAATCTAAACATCTTTCCTGATAGGAACTCTGATAACTGTTTCCTCCGACGAACTCTCCGGTAGGTTATAGTGTCAAACACTCATTTTGAATATGGAGAAGAGAACGGCCAAAGCGAGGGAATCAAATTACACTTCCTCTATCTAAAAACAACTCTCAAAACCCTAATCACAACCAAAGACCATTCATCTGTTACCAAGACAGCAGCTATGCTGGGCATGCAAAACAAACACATTAATTTCTCTTTGCATATAAATGGTATCGTGGGTTCATACATAATTCTAATGTAAAGTTGACCATCTTGAACCATCCATTTTGTCTTGTGTGTCCACCAAATCGAGAAGAGACAAAACAGTCCAGGGTCGCTGACAGTTTGTTTTAGCAACCTGATTGGTCAATATTGTTGCATTTGGTTTCTGACGACGACAACAACAAGGGTGAGGGTTTTGATCATATGCTAAAACAAGTAATAGCGTATTTTTCTATTATATATTAGAGATCATGTTGGAAAAAAGTGTGGGAACAAACCCAATATTTTTTGAAAGAAAAAAAAAAGAATAATTAATAAAAATTGTGGTTATAACTTATACTCCCTCCGTCCCAGATGAAAAAACTCATTTGAGATTTTATAGTAAAT